AAAAACGCTTATAGTGCATAGACCTGATTGTGACATACTTGCGTACCTTTTCTGTGTAATATATGCACATATTTTTGCATTAAGAAAAAGTCAAGAAAAATCAGCAAACCTCAGCCTACCCACCTTGGCCTGCACATTACTAATTGTGACATGTGAGGTAGATGGTGATAGAATAGTATCCTATTCATTAGAAGGGGATGCAACGTGAATGATGTATATTTGAAAATATTCACCCTGGTTTAAAATGAAATTTGTCTTTCTTTTAGGATCGAGTTGCTTCTGATGAATGAGATTTCGGTGAAGATGATGAGCCAGCCAAGTGTTGATGAGATGCCATAATTTACTCTTGAAGGATGAAAACACCTACATGTCAAACACTCCCTGCTTTTTTAGGGGTTCTGCTGAATATGGGTCTACATCCATATGTGCGGCTCTGGAACAAATTACGACTTACACACTTTACTGAACAGGTCAGGGGAAAATCATACATATGTGTGCCTTTTGTTCTATGGTAGTTATAGTTAGATAAGGAAAAGGTTTATTTAAGCGATATATATATATATATATAATTTGTTAAGGGCAAATGATTTTAAGATATCGTTTTAAACATGAATGTACACTCAAGGTACATTTTTACAGAGGTGGAAAGTTAAGGTCCAGAAAGTAAACATCCATACCGAGATTTTGTTTCAACTAACCAGCTAAGTACTCTGTGACTAGTTGGTTGAAACAGAATCTTGGTCTGGATTTTTACTTCTTGGACCTGAACATTCTGCATTCCTAAATCATGGATCAGGAATATATCGGGACCACAGTAATCAGAAGTTGTGCAATTTAATATCTCAGTTTACCTCATTTTGTGGGAAGGCACATGGGAGGTCATTGTCATGAGGCTGAAGGTTTATAATGCTGTGCTGTTTCCTTTAGCACCAGTGCATTATGGGTGCAAAGTTCATGTTTGCAATTTTTTTAGAATCTGAGCCTTAAATATGCCTGTCAGCCAAATGAACTTGTTTTATTTAGTCCGAATGTCAAAGGTTTACAAATTTGGGTATGTTTGTATGATTTTTAAGTTCTAATGAATTTTAAAATATTTATAATTATTAAATTCTGAGTAGTGTAGAATTTGTGTCCTGTTCTCTGTTTTTTTTTAAGTACTTTTGGACATTTGTATAAGCTTGTTTGAGAATAATTTATTTTTATTCAGTTTTTAACACCATTGTCTTTGACACTTACCTCGGGGCATATACAGGATAGTCTATGGAGAGTGTAGAGAAAGATGTAAGCACTTGCCAGATATTCTCATAAGATCTCTGTCAAAAGCTTTATTGCATTATTAGTGGACAGTGAGTTTCCTAATGAAAATATGACTCCATTTTTCCCTCACTCACGCACAAATGTTGTTATTTAATTGTTAATCCCAGAGCCCATATGTCTTTTATTGCTAAGGCATGACAGAAGTGCGTTTTTAGTTTTAAAAAAAAAAATAATAATTTTTATATAGCGCCTTTCACGATAGTTGTCCCAAGGTGCTCTACATAGATAGTTTTGGATACATCACAACATCATTAGAAAGAGTAATACAAAACAGGGTAAAGGAAGGAAGGAAATTAAAGAAACCAGATGACAACAGAGGATAAGATGTTAATGGAGGCTAGAATATAATGTGTCTGAATATTTACACCTGCATGAAGAGCACTGTAGTCACATGCCGCTGGGCTTGTACATTTGCTCCTGACTTGGGATTAAGGTTTTTCCCATAGAAATGAATGGACGGCCCCCACAAAGATAAGAGCACCGGTCTGTGTGCACATGGGTGTGTTTAAATATTTGTTTTTGGATGGCTTGTCCCTCTTTACATGACTTCTCTCTGGGTACTTCAGAGAAATAAATGGGCATATGAAATGGATGGATAGAATACATCAAAAGTTTGAGTTAGAAATAGGTCATGTAAAGTTATCAATGAGGAGGACATATTTACACACTTATAAAAGTGGATGGTGTAATGGTGCTGTACATATGTACACGTGGTGTAATGGTGCTGTACATATGTACACGTGGTGTAATGGTGCTGTACATATGTACACGTGGTGTAATGGTGCTGTACATATGTACACGCCCTTTGGGAGCCGCTGATAAGTTCCCTGCTTGCTTGCGTACTTTGCCTCCTAATCATCCTTTTCTCGGGAATTTAACATTCATTCCACTGGGCGAGTGCTGGCAGGGTGTGTCGCGACTGCTGTAACAGCACGGCGAATTTCCCTTTGCCTCTCTGTTAATATTCATGCCTTTACTCTTCTCTTTTATCCTGGGCCTTCTGATGGTAAGGGAGGGAGCAGGCAGAGTTCCTTAAATATATATTCTGTGATTTAGACAAAAGGGAGTTAATTACCTGAGTTACTTAAATACAGTATTGTTCAATACAGAATGATATTTCATACCCATGATTCAAGGTGTACATTTATATTTTATTTGAATTATGAATTGAGTGTAGCTGTATTTTTTTTATAAATTTTGTCTTTGTATTTTTTATGTAAAAACACTACACTCATGCACCAACCTTGTGTAATAATCATTAAGTCATGATCTTGAAATGCCTCTGTTGTAGTGTTCAGGCCAGAAAGCCTATAAGTGTTTGAATTATATTTTCTTTTGCTTTTCTTTCTGCTTATTCCTGTTCAGTGACTTTGTAGTTAAAATATATGGTCTGTTAAGTCTTAATGATTTGAATAAACCCAGTAAAAGTGAGACTAAACTAAACTAGAGTAATTTCTAGAACGGATGGTGATTCCTTGCTGTTGTGCAACCCTAACCCTAACCCCCCCCCCCGGCAGTTCGAGACAGAGCTTTGCAGCAGCTGTACTCTGGCGGAATATGCTGCCTGGGTTTCAGTGCTCAGCCATATTCTTTGGCGTTGACACACAGCTCCCATGTGACCCACTCTACCGACCACCAGGAGGTGCTGTTGCCCTTTGGTTCCACTTGTAGCAGGTTCAGTTTGACAGTAACGTGAGTTATTTCGCTGGCTCCAGCCTGCACCCCAGGCAGCGCTAACATAGTGGGGAGACTCTAGTTGCTCCAGGAATCCAGCAAAACATCTTTGTAGTATTCACAGAGAAACTATGTAGACATGAAAGAGAGTGTTACAAATCACCTCCACCCACCCAAAAGCCTGTACTGGGTAGGTGGTTGGAAGATGGATGGAATTAGGAACTAGGTCGTCTTTTCTTAGCCTCTCATAACGAAGGTATGATTGATACTGGGAGGGCCCCATATTTTAATGGTCTTGTCCTGGCATGATGTGATTTGAGTAATCCTGACGTGCCTCGCCTGTAGGTTGAGTTCTGTTTGATTAATTAAATGAACACTTGCATATTGCATAATAAAGAAGTGGCCCTGGAAAGCTGTAGTTGGTAAATGATGGTGGAATGTAGCTCGCTTAAATAAAGTATAAAAATCCTCTGGTCTGTTATCTGGGTATGTTATTGCTGGTCTTGCTGCAGTTAAAAAAAACACTGACATTGTCTTTATCTGGTTTTATAACTAGGTGATAGAAGCTGAGTCTTTATGACTGACAGAATAGGGTTTGAAAGGTCAAGCAGTTTGGGCTCAATTGATTTGAGTATTATTATTTAAGGCACAAAGTAGAATTCACTTAATTACGATTAATCATTTGGTCTTTCACCGCATCTGAGTTTCAGACTATTAGGTAATGGAGTGTTAAAATTGCATTTGAATTTGTATTATTATATTAAGGGCCAGAATGAATAAAATCGCATAGTTTTCTTATTATAATCTGTGTACAACAACAAAATAGTTTAAGTACTTAAACTTAAGAAATTTCAAGATTAGTCAGCATTCTGTAGACCATTTTACCATAATGACATACAATGCTTCATTTGTGAATAATAATTTCTTGCCAATAACTGACAAATGTAATATGTTCTTAGGAATAAATGTGCATCAGAAAAGTTATTAAATGTACAGTGCGGTAGAAAGATTGAATGCTGTAAGACTAGAGCCAGCCCTGGTCATCAAGTCCCAATTCCCAGGTGTTACCTTTGGTCCAGCAGATTGCTGTAATTGCAGCTTCAGCTGCCTGTGAAATAGTTTCAGTTTCTTCCCACAAGCCAAAGATTATTTCTTTTACAGCTTCATTTGATAGGTTTCTGTAAATTGCCGGCTGTGTGTGTGTGTGTGTGTGTGTGGGGGTCCAGGTATACCTTACCTTGTGGGGGCCAAACGTCTCCACGACATGATTTTATCTTATGGGGGTCCAGTATGGGAAACCTCTATTTTATAAAAATCCGTGACTGCAATGAAAAAACTGAAAATGCAAAAACTTTTGTATTTTGTTTGGTTACTTATGGTTATGGCTAGGGCTGGGTAGGGGCTAAGGTTGTCATAGTTAGCATTAGCATTTTTCCCATAGAAATGAATGAGCGGTCCCCAAAAAGATATGATTACACAACTGTGTGTGTGTGTGTGTGTGCGTGCATTTGCCAGGCTGGCATCCTGTCCAACGTCCCCAGCCTCGTGCTGTGTGGTTATGAATGGATAGGTGGTGTAGATGTGCAGTGTGCCACTCAGCGAGTTAGTGTGCCTGTCATTAGAAACTTCAAACCTCATGCTTGGCAGAGTAATTTTATCATTGAGCCCTTTAGCAAGACCCTTAACCGTAACTGTATGTTGCTTTGAATAAAAGCGTCTTCTAAATAAATGAAAGGTGCTGTAGACAGCATCTGTGCACAGATCATGCTTCATGTTCTGGTTGTAGGAGTCTCCATCCACAATCCTGGGGAGCTTTGATGTGGGCAAGTATGTGTTTCTGTGGGACTTCTTGAGGTGGTCACTTGTTTAAAGATCAGAATTTCGCTGATAGCCCATTGGATAGCTCGCTAGCATTTTTGTCACAACACCATCCAATGAATTTTTAATGCCCATCGATTATATTTTGACTCTTACGGACCCAGGTGCAAAACCCATTAATGTCACACAAATGACAACAAACCACTTTATTTCCAGGGCCTGTTTTGTTCAGAAGACACATTACTAAACAGATAGTTTCCAAAGTCACAGTCTACATATTTACATATCCATGGCGTGTTCGTCTTTAAGGAAAAATTCGACATAGATATCTTACAGACAGTATTAGATGTTGTGCATTGTAACATTTATCAAACAGTATGTTTTGGGGTTCAGGAGACGTAGCCAGCCTTTAACATTTCATATTTGTTATATGTACTCTGAAAAAAATCCATTAACGATACACTGCGATATGGCCGAACAATTGCTTGCAATTGTATTAAGAAGACCAAGTGATAATGTAATAAAAGCAGCTATAATACTATTTGGGTTGATGTTCTATTGGAAATGAATGGTCATATGCACACATAGCAACTATCAGAAGGGACGGAATATAAAGACTCCCCATAACTGCATTTCATACCAACTGAAGGCAAATATGTTCCCATAACGACTATGAAAACACTGTGAAAAAGTTCATCAGAGAGTTCACTCTGAATAATATTTCCATCCAGTTAGGCAGTGTCATTGTTCGCCACCTTGATGCAGATGTACCTTAAATGGCTGATGATCATGAACCAAATGTGTATTAGTTAGCAGTATTTCACATGGCTTCATATTAAGGCATGAAATTTCACAGACATCAGCTGGGCAGCATAGCTTCCTCTCACCGAGGTTAAATTCCAGTTTGACCCATGATGACCTCTAGCTGATTAAACTACTACATTTAAATGTGTACATTTATAGCCCTTATTCCATTCATCAGAGGCTAAGTACGGAATTACATGATTCGGTAGCAAGGTCCAAACCCGAGCTCTAGTCCTTTTTTGGGTTTTCCTCCCTTTTCCATGTTCCATACAGGATCAAAAGTCACTGTTCTGGAATCGTTTCGTGTGACTTTGCTCTCGGTCGTCCTGGTAGCTGTTCGGGGGCGGTACAGCTTTGCAGTAGACATACTGTTCCCAGATCCGGAAAAAGGCCATTCTGAACTTCTTGATACGGAAGGCGTAGATGACAGGGTTGACGGCTGAGTTGCCATGGGTGAGCAGGATTGCAGTATATATGAGGATAATGGACTTGTGGCACTTGGGGCAGAAGAGGGTGATGCAATTCAGGACGTGAAGCGGCAGCCAACTGAGCGCAAAGAGGAAGAGCACTAGAGCCAGAGACTTAGCTAGCTTCAGCTCTTTGCCGTAGTACTTGCTGGGGTCACTGTGGCCGGAGGTGACCTTCTTGCTGAGCTGCCTGTGTATCATATAGAAGACCTCCACGTAGATGAGGAGCATGACAAGTAATGGCGGCAGCACCCAGCCGAAGAAGTTGAAGTAGACCATGTACTCCATGCTGATGACCGTCTCAAACTCGCAGGTGATGATCAGGTCGGATGTCATCGAAATGTTTTTATGCAGTCTCTGGAGATTGTTCCAGCCCAGCATGGGTGTGAGACCCACCACGAAGGCCACCATCCAGCAGAGCAGCACCGCAAATCCTGCACGCCGTGGTGTCACCACCCGCTTGTAGCTGCGGAATGCATGAAGACAGGAGAAGAATCGTCAGCCAGCAGATGCTACAATGACTGCAGGACACACTCATTTTTGTCCCAGCTCAGCCTTTAAGTATTTCATTAAATTAATTAATTAGTTGCATTTATTTCCAGGTAAAAAAAAAAGGTGCAAAACAAATTCTAAAACCTGCAGTTAATATTTGCTTATTTATACACAGAAGAAAATACCTAATACTTTATTAATTACATTCTGTATTGTAAAAATCAGTTGCCCGTCACTTATAATTGCAAGTGTGATCCCATATTCATTATTTAGAGTATGAATTGATGTGAGGTGGCTAGGGAATCTGACAATGTGGCATTGAATTGCTTTGAATTAGTTTTTAACCTGCGTTAAATACCAACTAAGACCACCTCAGATGAAAAAAACTCTAGTACGGCACTACTACACTTTAAGTGATTCAGCGCAATTGGTAAATGCCCGCATTCTGCAATAGACGTGAATGTTGTCTTTAGAGTAATAGGTGTGTATACTTCAGTGGTGATGATTATATAACTGGATTGGCAAGTTTTAATTAACTTACAATACTCCTCCAGTCTCTGAATGTGACAGACACCCAGAAGGCAGATTAACCCTTTTTAGTGAGGATTTCCCAGAAGTGTGCAAGACAGGCTCTAGGTGAAAGCGAGCAGAGTGTTCCGTCTTTAGTTAATGTGAGCTGATTACATGCTGCTGGCCAAAGACCAGCCTGCTCACCTGAAAACACAGCATGTCGACTCCACAACAAAGCCAGGTACTAAAACTCAAAGCGATTTTTAAAATGTCTTATTTTCCCCTCCAAACTTCTAAACTTTGCAATACTTCTCCCTAAAGCTAATCAAGTAACTGAAATGGCACACCATTCATATATCAAAAACCACACTCAACAATCCTTAACACATCCTTAAAAAAAATTGGTAACACTTTACTTAAGGGGAGGGTCAAATAATATAATATAATGCACTTAATTAAGCATGAACCAACTCTAACTTAATGTATTAATTAACCACAAACTAAGTTTTAGTTACAAGCAAAAGAGTGTACTAGGTATTATTGCTCATTCACCATTTGCTATAAGCTAGTTATTATGTTTATAATGTTAATAATCTGCTCCTGGCTGCCACTGTATAAACTACTAGATCTATTAATCTATAAATAAAACTTTGTTAACAAACGATGAATAACACAAGAACAGTGAAATATCAATCTTATGTTCGTTAATCATTAATGAACTGTAACGGATCATTTATTTCAAGCAGTTACTATATTTGTTACTATATCTGTTAATTCTATAAACCTTTGCAGGTTTAATCTCAGGTTGCTACTCTATTGGTTCACTGTTTGTACTTGAATAATAACTGATTTATTACTAAGTTACTAAGGAATCTTATTGTAATTGTATCAAAAACTCCCTCTATGATATTCCTCTTTCCTTGAAGTCTGAAATTAAACATCATGATACATAATATGCAAATATCAAAAATGCATAAAATATGAAAGCTGCAATGTTAACCACATACTTTCAATAAAAAAAAACTCAAATATATGGAAATGATCAATGGTTCTCTCCACAAATCCAGTTGTTCTGCAAATAGAACACTAGAAAATTGTCATTTTATTACAAATTAATTTGTTATTTAATGCAGACTGACAGATATTGCAAATTATTTTTGGATTTGCCACAAAAGTTATTTTGCAAGAAGATAATTTTTCTGCGAAGAGTAACTGGAGTAATCAAAATATATCAAGATAAGAATATGACACCTGCTTACATTTTTTACAACTCTGTTGTACCTCAATGTAAAATGGCCAATGACAATCCTCCCCATACATAAAAAGTTCACAACTAGATTCTTTCTGAGGTACTACTGCTAATGTAAATCTGAATTCAGTTCTTTTCATTTTATTGAGCACCCTTCCCAAAATCGAAGCCACAGAGTGTTTTGCATAAAAATCCACACAGTACACTGGAAACAGCGCTCTTAGAGAATCAGTACTTTGGAAAATTTGCCCTTCAGCATAGCTCAACCAGCTGGTACTTGACTACTATAAAATAGTAATTATTGAGTAAAATTGCTACATCTCCATTGGGCCCTTGAGCCAGGCCACCAATTTTTGAGACCCCCAAAAATGCCCCAGTGATGCCGTAAATGCTGACCCTGTGCTCAGACCACAGGCTTCATCTTCACCTCTATACGTGTGTGTGTGAGTCTCAAAGGAGAGCATCATGGGACATGCAAAAACTATAGAATTCTCGTGAACCTGTACTGGTGCAAATGGCAAATAAAGGATAATTTCATTTTACTCAATCCTTTGTTGTTCAAAATAGTTTCAGCAAAAAAAAAAAAAAATTCCACAAGCCCTCGCCATAAGATAAGATAAGACTTTATTCATCTCGAGGGAAATTATTCTGCTAGGCATAAATCTCACTGTGCAGGATTAAACAACAGAGATTAAAAATACCAAGAATAAAGAAAACAATTTAATACAAGAGTACGATAAAATACAAAATATAATAAGGAATCCAAGAAGACTATACAAGTATAAAGACAAAAGGATAAAAAGATGATGTATCTAAAATGAAAGTGGGCAGGTGTAAAGCGTGTAAAAAGCGTATCGGGGGCAGCGCAGGGGGTGAGGAGCCTCGTCCAGGATGCCGACAAATTTGCACAGCATCCTCTCCTCAGCCACAGTCTGTGGGGAGTCCAGCCCCAGGAGTCCCTGCACTCAGCCAGCCCTGCTAATGAGCTCGATAAGCCTGTCGGCCTCTGCTGCCTTCACCCTGCTGCCCCAACACACTACTGCGTAAACGGTGAGACTGACCACTGCCGAGAGGTAGAACATCTGACCAAAGCCTGTGATTCTATCCAGTCCAGCTGGCTTGTCCAGGTTCACTCCCTGTATCTGTAGCCCTGTACTGTCCCCACTTCTGTCCCCTTGATGCAGACAGGTGTCTTGGGGGACTTCCGTGTCCTAAAATGTCCCATCATTTCCTTTGCCTTGTTATCCAAGACACCATTGGCTCATTAACTTGCATTTTCCTGAACTTATCTCCCAGTAAGGTTGGTACAGGTATGATGGAAATATAAACACTTCAGAAGTAAAAAAACATGACTCTCACACAACTGCCTGAACCATCCACATACAGTATGTGTAAGCCTGATGAAGCATGAAGATGATGCCATCTTCAATGCCCATGTGTGGCCAGTACACAAACTGTACGGGGTCCAATGAGTTGTGCATCATGGTCTGTGCTGTGACAACACCAGTCTCAGTGCCACTGGCCTGTAGTCACTGTGTGTAGTAGCTTGTTTTCTTGGGTATGGGCACCAGCCAGGAAAATATCCACAGCACAGGGACCTTCTGAAGAATCAGACTCAGGTTAAATATGCACTGCAGGATGCCAGCCAGCTGGACTGCACTCCCCTTGAGCCCCCTTGGGCTGATGCCCACCCGGCCTGCTGCCTTGCTTGGCTGCAGTCGGCCCAGCTCTTCTCTATCCTGTTCCATGTCCCTGATGTTGCAGGCTCTATAGTAACCCTGAAGAGAAACAGAGAAGGGGAGGAGTGGTAGGTGGAGGGAGGGTAGATGCTTGGCCGCTGGTGGTTTGCCACCTCCTTGTCAAGCCTGTTAAAGAACCGGTTTAGCTCGTTGGCTCAGTCCAGATTATCCTCAATCCCCCAGCCATTGTTCTGTTTACGGCCAGGTTTTTATGCCCCTTCACACCTTCTTGGCGTTATGCTCTAACTTTCTCTTGTAGCGGTCCTTCATCTCCTTAGCTGTCTCTCTCAGTACCACCTGTATCATCTTCATCTCCTCTCTGTCTCTGTTCCGGAAAGCCATCTTCTTCAGATTCAGGGTTGCCTTGATGTCCTTGGTCACCCAGGATTTGTTGTTGGGGAAGCATCGCACTGCCTTTGTGTGTACTGTGATCACCAAATAAAAACGTGTATATCATATTTGACTGTACAATCATTTTCTTTCTATATATTCAGCTCTGACCATGGCTTCTGATGGAACTTCTTCATAAGGACAATGGGGTGCGTGGCTCCACCTTTTTTACTGAGAACATTTCATAGTTTTACATAATCAGCATAGTCATTGGCTCTTTCATCATCAATGAAACACAAGTTGACTCCCTCTGGTGTTGCCTGCTTATTTAATTATTCATTGTGCGTCAGCAATGACATCTCAACCTCGGCCTTTCCTGCTTCCAGACTGAATATCCATTGATTCTATTTTTATATAAGGCTGTAATCTGTATCAAATGATTTTCAGCATATCCCTATCGTCATGTCAAATAAATAAAATTGTACACTAGTTTGCACACTGTCATGTGTGATATTGAGACATAAACTCTTCCAATCTTTAGGCTGTTGTTTATTGGCATAATTTAGCTAACAATTAGAGATTGGTCCCCTATTTGTACAGGGATGCCCCAGGCCTTCCCTTTTTGGCAGTGATCTCAGGGATAACATAACCTCCTGTTACACTGCTGAAGGTTCCTACATGTATCTCACCCCATTAAGTCTTAGCTGTTGATGTCTTTGCTGTAGAGCAGGGGTCTCCAACTCCGGTCTTGGAGAGCTACTATCCAGTAGGTTTTCTGTCCCACTTGGCTTCTGATGAGCCACACCTGTTCCTGGTATTTACCTGAGAACAGGTGTGGCTCATCAGAAGCCGGGTATGATAGAAAACTTACTGGACGGTAGCTCTCCAGGACCGGAGTTGGAGACCCCTGCTGTAGAGGTTGTGCTCCTTCTATCTCGGCTCGATCTTTTTTCCATCAGGTATTATTTGCCCTCTTACGTCCTTTACCAAACCCCTTAGAGTTTGGAACTTCTAATCTCATGGATATGAAAAGTAGCCCCTGTTTTTACATGTTGATTTGCATCATTTATGCCTTGGCAGATGTTATGATTAGGGTCTTTGTATTATTAATATTCCAAGTATGAACTTGTGCATTTGCTAACTGAATATACAAGACATAACCACCACAAAACTGGCACAGTCAAGTGCAGGGCCACCCAAAAGGGGGGGGGGGAGGAAGACTTTCAGGGATCTGGACACTGGGGGGTGGCTGGCAAAGCTCACCAGTGCCCCCCCCCCCCAGGTTAGGAATCTGGATTGGCCATGGGAGCTTGTTTCAGTGCAGGTGGTAAACATACCTATTGATGGGCACACATGGAAACATACAGTATGTGATGGTACCATCTTCCCAGTCTACAGTGTGCAGAATGTACCGCAAGAGAGAGGACCGAAGGCTGTATAAAAAAAGGACATGTTTAACTCATTTTAAGAGAATGTCTACTCTTTTGATATGCCGCCATTTCTTGGTCTCAAAATTTACTGGCATGGAGCAGAGAAACTTGAAAATTAAAAATAAGGGCACATACTGTATAACAAAGTTAATGGGTCCCTGTCAGAGAGTCCTTCATTCAGTGCAAGAGGGCAGCAGGCCAAGCAGGAAGGCAAACCCAGATCCCATGTATGCGTGAAAATGTAGCATCTATTGTCATTCAAATGCATTTACCCAGTTGATGTACTTAATCCTTTTCACTGTATGTGCCAGAAGTCATAACAGACAATGCAGTGTTGCTGGCTAATCTACTGATGAATTTTTAGCAACAGAGCTATGGCATTGTGATGAATCCCTGGCTAGCAATTTATAATCTGAGCTACAGTATGTACGAATAACAGGCATGTTAGTTAGGAGTTTTCCACAGACATACACCTGACAGTCTCCCATCTTAATACATTACGAATTTTCCCAGAATGTTCAAATTCATCGAGGTAAGCACTATTCATCTGGCTGCAATTTAGGACTGGATGTTAAAGAAGGATCACAAATCACCCAAAATCAACACTTCCCTTTCAATCTCAGGCTGGAATTTGCACACAAAACCTTAACATGGTTGTGCTCAGTCCACGTCGGGAAAGCCATTATTCAACGTGCATAATTGTATTGCTAGGTAAATGTAAGTACATGCAAATTCAAATTTAATGATCAGTAGATGTTTGTAATTTTACCACAGCCTGAGTCATTATTTCCAGGAGATTGAAACTCCAGCAATGGCGTGTGATTCACACGACAAACAAATTGAAAACGAAACAAAAACTGGCACGTTTTACAGTATTTCGGAGGGCGTAGTCGTCCTTTGCACAATATGATCTTCTACTCTTAGTAATTTAATCGGTAATACGCGCGTCGCAATCACGAGTTTTGGTCCAAATTATCTTACAGTAAGTCAGGGTTGCCAACACTCACGCATCTTGTGTGAAACTTCAGTTTTCAGACTCTCACGCTCACGCACGAAATCTTACGGCAAATCTGTATTATTCCATTAAAAACCTATATTATCTACATGTGGTTTGCAAGCCCTACAGACTATTTACAGGGTAGTAAAACTATTACATACATGTAAATGACTGTGCAGACATAACTCGAATTGAAAATGTCACGCCAGCCAACTATAGGTTGGCAACCCTGTTAAGTACCGTAATGATTTCAGAATTTGTAACATGTAACATATCGAACACCGTTTATGTTTATGCTCGACTGCATTACGTCATGTGTAAACAGACTGGGATGTTTTTCACCTGACATAATGCATTATCAGATTTCCACGAATCACGCTTCGGAAAAGTTATACTATAGCCGGGTCTGGAAATAGTAATACAGTAGTAACTATTCTTGTAGAGGCCTGATTTTCAAGACTTGCCAATAAAGCAGGTAACTGATAATTAAATATGTTAGGTGTTGGAAAAATGACACTTCTGAAATAGCTGACAAAGCTGTAAAACATCCATAAGCACGGCTCAGACGATACGACACGCATGCCGTTTTAGAAACGCCGTGAAAAGTTCCTGCATGTTGCAGCAGATGTTTCAAAAATGAGCCAAACATCTGCGCATTCCTGTGGCAGCATCATCAGGCAGGGGCTCTGGGGCAGCTCGCATTTACCGTATCCATACACTACGTATCTGCGTGCACCCCAGATGTTAGACGCTGTGATGTCCCATCAGTACCACCCCAAGCAGGCTATATTATTTTACCCATTTGTAGCGATGAGATGACAGAGGTCACAAAATCAAAACGCCCATGCAAAACAATGACCTTTTGATTTAGTGAGAATTACGTGCATAAAGGATGCAAATAGACTTATTTGCATCTGCGTAAATAATACGTGGTAACTAATTAACCATACTTTACCTGACTGGGATTTTGACGCGGAGGTAGCGGTCGATCGCTATGGCCAAGAGGGCCAGGATTGAACTTTGCGTCAGGACCAGTACGCTGCAAGCTACAAGCAGGCAGCTGTAGAAGTGTGTCTGTAGTCCGATACTGATGGTGATGGCCAGGGGGATGACAAGAGCCCCGACTGCGATGTCGGCAAATGCCAGAGACACGATGAAGGAGTAAGTGGTGTCCCTCAGTGACCGGTTCGTTTTTACTGCCCAGACGACCATCACATTTCCTATAACCGATGCCACAGCGATGGCTACCTCCATCCCAATATAAAGCATCCGGGCGAGTGATAAATCGTCCGACATACTTGCGTTTCAGCTGATAATACCCTAAAGAAAAACTGTCCTACTTAAAACAGGACTGAAAAACAGAGAATTAAAAAAATACATATATTATCTTGATTCATTGATGCAGCGAGGTACTGTATCCTAAGCTGCAAGGTGCTTCCTTTCAAAAGCGTACAAAAGCAGGCAAAAAATACTGACGGTATAAAACATGACAGACGGTGGCAGGGAGAAGGAAACACTTGGAAGGTCACATCATTCCTTTTAGAAAGTAAGAAAGCATCGTATCCGGCGAAGATGCCCGTCCTACGCTTTTGGACATCCAAATTACCCACGTCCAGGGGTGCATAAAAAAGACCTGTCCTTCACACGAAAATATCCATACTGCTTAAGTGAGTGTACAGTTAACCTTCATGCAAGTAAACCAGTGGAGGTGGAAAACACCAACAAGTAACAAAAATCGGACATCATAAAAAACAAAGTGACTCCGTTGTCTCTTATACTTAGACGTTTCCACTAGTTCTGGTAAATACTGTCGTAACAAGAAAAAAATACGTTCACCTGTCATTCATTAATAGGTAAAACCCGATTCCCATTGAATTAGATCTCGTTGTTTTACTCTGCCTTGAAAACATGTGTTTTAGTCTCCTCCGATTTGCGGCGTCTTTCAGATTTCAGAGAGGGCAGTAAAGAGGCAGCCCGAAATAAGGAAGGGACTTCTCTACGGTCGGTCTCGCCTCCGGATTTAAGCTGCCGCCGTCCGGATTCATTATACTGACAGTTTATGGAATCACGTGTCAGTGATTTCAAGCTGCATCCGCCAATTTGCTGTTGCGCAAATATTACTCTGTGCGCAAGTTTTCATTCAGCCCTACACAGCCCTATTACACTGCCAAACTGTAACTGGAGATCACAGGAAAACAATTAATTGTTAAGCAGTTAAAATACCTATGTATGCGCAACAAGTATGCGTAAACCACATTATAGATGAAGAGTATGCACATACAAACAGTTTTTTTTTGCCTTGCCTAGCTCGCAATAAACCACGGCTCAAATTTTACCTGTTATTAAAAGATCGTTCGGTAAATTCAGCAGAAAACACTAAACTTAAAGAGCAAACCACAAAGCCATTTATTTGATCCTTAATGCAACGCTGCACAATTATATTACAACAAATAGCCTACATGTATCTCATATACGTATACATTTTGTAGAACAAAATATTGGCAAAAGTGTATTTTCTGATGCAGCTTACTACAAGTGACAGAAGCAAATACAAATAACACATACAGTAGGCCTATCAAGATTGAGATGGACTTTATTGATCCTATGGGGAAATTCTATATTTGGTAGGCTAAACAAAATAAATGGGCAATTTGGAATACATGACAGAACTAGCAGAATTTAAATGTAATAAATAATCAGATTACGGGAAAGGTAGGACACAGTGCCTAATAAATCTTCAACATAAATTACACGATAGACTATACCTCAAAAGTCACACTGAATAGCAAATAAAGTGCAGACCAGTTGCTCTGTACATGTGAATGTAGACTAGAAACAGTGCATCTTAGAGCATCTCGGAAGAAGCTGTTTTTAATTCATGTGGTTTTGGATGTGAGTGATCTAAAATGTTTACCAGATGAGAGCAGCTGAAATAATTAATGCGCAGTTTAATGGGTCCTCTAACATCCTATCGGCAAATTTGGCAGTGTGCTGGATGTATGAGGATTCCGCTGTCGTGGTTGTCTATGCTGAGTCTCCTTGATGTTATATGTTGTTTTAGGGAACTGTAGATATGCATCTTTGCATGTATTTGCATCTGCCTTTGCATGGACAAGTATTATAACACCATAGGTGTTATAATAAGGTGTATTATGACCTATTTTAAGGGTTTTGGGTTTCCAAGTTTCAAGTTTTGTTGTGACGTGTTCAGAGGAACACAGTGAAATTCTGATGATACAGTTGCAGGGGGGAGGACAGGTGCCTGCAATCAGTACAAAGAGCAGAGCAAGACAGGACCAACAGCGATGCAATAAGGGACCAATCAGGTGGGTAAGGAGCATGCACTGATTACAATGCACGGCAAGACAGTGCAATATAAGAATAATAAAAAATAATACAATATAAAGGAATATAAATGATGAATAAATAATAAATATGTGTGTGGGGATAAGGATGTGCAAATAGACCCCAGTATGGTGAATAACAGTGATACAGTGCAGAGGTGGAATATTAAAGATAGTATGCAATACAGTGCAGAGGTGGAATATTGAAGATAGTATTCAATACAGTGCAGAGGTGGAATATTAAAGATAGTATGCAATACAGTGCAGAAGTGGACATTTGCGGGTCACCAGTTGTTTAGTGACCTGACAGTGGGGAGAAGAAAATGTCTCTGAAGCAGGTGGTATTTTGTTACCTGACAGCCCCTCAGTTTTTTCACAGCTTTATTATTTGAGTCCAGTGGGCAGGCCACTCTCTTCCTTTGACCCCTCACATAAATCCTCCAAAACCATCAGGAAGTCACAGCGAATAGAGGAAGAACCAGGCCAAGTGGAAGAGGCTTTGTGCAGCAGTCGCTGACCGGATCCTGGAAATTCCACAGTGCTTCAACAATCAACATGAGAAATCAACATGGGACTCTTAAACTCTACTGGAACTGGGATATGAGGAAGTGATAGGGATCATGGGAAATTTGGCGGCAAATGTACATGTTTCCCTACAATAGAACTTTGTCAACTTGGTTGATTATCCCGGTGGTTATTTTCAGCCATTGACATGGGACGGGGTCTCACAAAAATGGGGAAGGGGGGGGGGGGCTCGAAGGCTGTGCTTTAGTGCACCAGATTTAGACTTCATGTCACAAGTATAATGGGAGGTGCTAACTGAAGAAAGGAGCCCAGACACATCGGAGAGTGGTTGGCTTCGATTCCAGCAGGACTACGTGCAGTAGAGCCATGATTAGGACAGTCGTAGTCTGGTTCAGGTTGTAGTTTAGGGTTATCTGTGCAATGTATGATGGGGAGTAGGAGGTTGCGAAGGTCCCTGAATTACTGTGAAGAATAGTCCTATATTTCTGGAGCCCAGCTGTTGTTCCCTATACTGAACATTTAACTGAATTTGGGTGAATCTAAATAAAATTATAGACCTTCGTTTTGGGTTGTTGGAATGGCACAAGCAGTATAATACATCTGTTTATGGCTAAAACAGGAGTTCCTTCCTTGCAGCCAAGTTTAAAAGTTCAGTTGATGGGATACGCTTCCTGCCACCTTCAACCTCTCCTCACATAAGTTTATTCGCTAGTCTTACATGCAGCCATAACGTAATTTGAATGGTCCGAATGATAGCAGTCATCAGTTTTCTGTGTGTGGCAAAGCATTGCGGTGCTGATGTTGAGATCTATCGGGCTGAGCCCTTTATTAATAATTGCTCCCCGTCTGGTCATATTTCTGTCCCTGCTGTCTCTTGCTGTTGAGGTCTCTCTGCTAATCCCCCCAGTATCGCCACTACTGTACTTCACTTTTTGGCAGCCTTGGCACATCCTAGTTGGGGGCACCTTGTATCTGTCCTAGCGCTTTAGACGTTGCAGCGATCTTGTATATTGGCATCGAAGGTTGATATGTAATACCCTTGTCTTTACAACACCCTGTCAAGAATGTACCCCAGCCCTGTGTCCCATGCTCCCTGGGATAGGCTCCAGCCCCCCCCATGTTTAAGTGACTATAAGATAGATAGGTAGGTTTCTTTATCCTTGGCTGCACATCCTCCCCTGGCATTCAGCAAGGAGCAATCCGATTGTACGCTCCCCCTCCCCCACCATCCAGTCCCAACCTTTAGACCGCCTGTGGTTCCTTTTGCTGCCACAAGGGTTGTCTGGTACCTTGACAGAACCTTTTTTATGCTTGGTCATTTTCATTTCCGTGGCCCCTGGGGCTCTGCCTTTTTCAGGCTGAAGTGACATCATCAAGACAGTTGTGGGTCCTGTTGGGGGCGCTGCTGCTATTCATCTCACCTGCACATAGCCTTGGGGGATTTTTTTGGCCTCCTTCTCACTCCTTCTTCACACTTCATTCATCTCAGCTCCATTAGCGGTGCTGCTCATCTGTTAGTCCATTGTGTGGAGTGCCTGTTTGACCTTTACACCTGTCATGCATCACTGCTTATCCCACCAACAGCTGTACTTAAACCAACAGCTCACTGGCTTCATCTCGGAATCATTAACATTTCAGTATGAGATCTGCAGCTGTATTTTGGGAGTGAAAATTTCTAGTGTTTGCATGGATGGTTTGCTAAGAATACATCTTAATTCGTGGTATATGACTTGCTTATATTTTTATATGAGTGTTATACTGGTGTCAAGGTTTCCCACTGTTAAATAAATACTGAAGACAATGTTACACTGTTCTGCTTCTCATTCAGTGTCCATCCATCCATCATTCATGAGCACTTACCCAGCAGAGGGTCATGGTGAGTGTGGGGCCCATCCCAGAAAACACAGGCACACCCTAGACCCCTATAATTCAAATCACAGTCCTCGAGGTCCGAGCACTGCTGGTTTTCCAGCCTTCCTTTACCTGTGAGCCAGGTGTGAAGCCTCTGACCCATTAAAATCAGTAATTATTAAACTAACTACCTGGGAGAACTGAAAACAAGGCCTGGATTTGGAATCGAGGTCCAGATTTGAAGAACCCTGCCCTACACTGAAAACCATTGCACTGTTTTTGGAATCTGGGAGGAAATCCACAACATGCAAACTGCAGACACATGGAGTTGGGATTTGAATCCCACTAAGTGACCATGCTGCCCCCCGATAATATTATAATATTATGTTTCTTTTTGCAGGGTGGCGTGGTGGTGCAGTGCTTAGTACTGTTGTCTTGTACCTCTGGGACCAGGTTTTGAGTCCTTGGCATGGCTCTGTGTGGAGCTTGCATGTTCTCCCCATGCCATCATGGGTTTTTTTCTGGGTACTCTGGTTTCCCTCCACAGTCCAAAAATATGCTGAGGCTGACTGAAGTTACCAAATGGCCCATACTGTAGGTGTGAATTGTGTATGAATGTGCCCTGTGATGGGTTGCTGCCCCTGTCCTGGGTTGTTCCCTGCCTTGCCCCCCCCCCATAGGCTCTGGACCCTCTGTGATCCTGAGTACAATCTGATTACAGATGGGTGGGCTGATTCTTATTTATGCATTTTATCTATCTCATTTTCCTGTAAAGGATTTTGAATGACCTTTGTGTATGAAAATGCTGTATAAATAAACTTGATCTGACTTTACTGTGGCAATACATCAGTGGCCCTGCATGGCGATGTATCAAATCAAAACCAAATTACAGTTTTATTTCTTACTTAGTTATACTCAGTACTATGTGCAGTGAAATGCTAGGTTGCCTAGCTCCAAGACTGTGAAACAGGGAACTTAAACAAAACCTTAACCTTTCAACAATAATCATAACCATAAATAGCATGCAGTTGGAAGTAAATTGTGGTAGTGCAAGTTTCAGATGAACGAATAAGTATTTACATATTCAAATTTATCATGGGAGTACAGTCTTTTTACATTGACAGTACCTCTATAGTATATACCTAGAGAATTAGCAGAAAATACAGCAGAATATGCCGTACGACGCCATTATCTGGGAAGCGGGTGAGCTGCTGGGACGTGTTTGAAAACCCCAGAGGAACACCACTTGACTTGGAATTCATGCAGCTGGTCGGCTGAAAAACATGTGAATAGTGAGTTTCTGCAGCAGTATGAAAAGCT